TATTATGTGACTAAGGAAGCACTTGAATGATCTCTGCAGAAATATGACAACTTGTTTGAGCAAAATGCTAAGAATGGGAGCTTTTATCTCCAATCAAAGGTTCATAGAGCTAAAGAATGCTTAGAAGGAGTTTATGAAAAGAAAGGTGAAGGAACTACAGACGCGTAGAAGCATAACCAGTGTCAAATGTATTGTTCTTTTGATATTCTCATAGTTGTTTAATTGTTTACTTGGTGTGGCTACCCAAAATTCTTTATGACCTCCGTCAGCCTATGTAAATCAAAGTTCACATTCCCTTGTGTTGCAATGCGCTTCCCCTAATATTTACCATAGTTTGTGCCAGATTGTGATCTTTGAATGATGCATCATGAATTCATGACCGTTACATTTTATGTAAGTTTATTGGAATATCAGCAATAATTTCTAACACTATGGAAGTAGCCAATCTAAGTTGTGAGCTGAGAGCGTAATGTGATGCAGATACTGTTGTATTGCAATAAGACGTGCTTTGGCATAAAGAAGTTTCTAGTGTCTGAAGTTTTTCAATTTTTTGGTATTGTAATTATATGTATAGCTTCCTTTGGCAAACAAAATGGATCATGCACGTTCTAAAGAATGGAATGGACTGGACTGCTGGAGGGCAATCCTTGTTGGGCTCAAGACGATAGAAAAACATCTTCCATTTACTGTATATGCTTTTATCACAAAGTGAAATGAAAACATCTTCCACTTGGTGTATATGCTTTTACCACAAAGTGAAATGTTTGTCCTCGTTATTACTATTATTATTTTTTAATTTTAAGTAGGTCCTGGTAGTTTTTATTTTTTATTTTTTATTTTGGTAGTTCATTCAAGCAACCAAAAAGATAGTCTATTATTCTATTAGTTTCACTTAAGCCTACCTTCTCTATTATTCTATTAGTTTAACTAAAGGCTACACTCTCTGTTATTCTATTAGTTTCACTAAAGGCTACACTCTATTAGTTTCACTTAAGGGTACTTTCTGCCTAATTCGGGTTTAGCTACCAGAAAACATGCTGAGGTTCCTTTATACATCATTGGCTCTAAACTATGCGCATGATGACAATTGTTGTTGTAATTAATTAATTTTATCCTTAGTTATTATTTTTTTGAACTAGTATAATTGGGGGGAGGGGGATTGGGATTGTCAGGGCTTGACTTTGGATTTTTAGATGTTACCACGTTCTTCAAAGAATTTGTAACCACTGAGCCGCAATAGTGGTTGGCTAGTCATTACTAAGATAAGTAATGTCAAAGAAAAATTATTTTTGATGAGGTGGATTATTAAATGAAGTTTTAGCAATATGAGGAAAGTAGAAAGAAGAAAAAAAATTAATGCAATTCAAAACATGTGTAAACTACAATCAATTTGGGACATTCAGTATAAAAGACGAGATTGCAGGATTGAGGTGGTGAAGAAGAAGAATGTATCGTCTCTGATATTTTGAATTATCTTGCTTGTGCAAAATTAAGCTCTGTATTAGCAATTGGGCTTGCGTATGGTTTTTTTCTTTTTTCTTTTTTGGGTACATACGATAATAATGGGATATATGAGAAAACTTTTCACTTTTCTTAGATCTCTCCTTGTTTAATTTAATATTCGAATTTGAGATTTTTAACTATAGATCTTCAATTTGTAACTACTAAATTAACCCTTTGGAGGTGATATTTTTGTTTTTTTTTTTTCTTATAAAGACAAAGTTGTTATAATATGGTTATGCATTATTTTAATATTATTTTTAAAAAATTTTAATTTTTTAATTATTAAGGACAATTAATAATTGTACCTATGAACTAATGATTGATAGAATAATTGATATTTATTAAGGGTGATGGTACACATATTATTTTGTTTTATAATTTTTTTATACAACATTTATATGTTATTAAATGAATTAATACATCAATATCATAACTCTTAATAAGGTGAAAAGAGCTAATTATTAAATGAAATGTAAGGTTATGTGAAAAAGTTATATAAAATTATTATCTCTCAATCAATTTTCATTTAACAAACTCAAATCATCATCAATCATATAGTTTGATAGTAAAGTTACTTATATTTTAGTAACAAATTTAAGATTCAATTTTTAGTTTTTACATACCAAAAAAAATTAACAAAATAAAATCAATCTATAAACTAATATTTTCAAATAAAATAATTATTTATTTTAAAATAGTTTATATGATCTTAATATTTTTTTATGTGGCAATAATCACACTCCCGTACTTGGCCTTAAGTGAAAAACAATAGCTTGTGAAGCAAAATATGAAAGGTGAAACTAAAGATAAGGATTGGTTGCCGCAAAGTTTGAAAGGCGAGGTATGGGTCGGAAAAAAAAGTAGGAGTCGGCTATGCCATGTGTGAGTGTGACAGCAGCTCTCAACGTCATTAGAAGTTTCCTTTTTTTTATTCTTTTTCAACACCGGCACTTTGCGTACAGACTGGGGCAAAGGTTCTTTCTGGGTCAGCTAGTCTTCTTCCTAATTATTTCTATTTTAGAGATGTGTAATGGGCACTCGATTGGTCCTCTGAATGGGAGGATAGTCAGTGTATCATTCCAGACTTATAAATGTATGATTTAATGTAGACTAAACTTTAAAATTATATAAATGAATGTTGTGGTCATAAGTGAAAAGAAATTTTTTGATTAAATGTATGACTTAGTGTAGTTTAAACTTTAAAATTACGTAAAGAATGTTCTTGTTTGTAAGAAAATTTTTTTTTTAATCAAGTGTGCTTTACAATTTCACGTGTCAAAATTACGTAAAAAAATGTTCTTATCATAAGAAAAAGGAATTTTTTGATCAAGTGTGTTTGGTAATTTTACATATTAAGAATTTTATTTATTAATTAAAATTATTATACATTTTAAATTATATTAAATTATACAATATAAATAATTAGATAAAAAGTGAGTTCTTGATATTAAAAACTCTCAAATTTAACTATTTTTGTTTTATAACCTAATGATGTGGTTCAAAATATAAATTAGGGTAGTCTTTACTAATTAATTTCACAATTTACCAATAAAGCCCATGAGATATTTTCGCTTGTGTAGGTTCATGTTCAAGTTTTTTTTAAAAAAAAAAAAAAAAGAAGAAAAAAACGTTTTTTTATTATGAATTTCATTTTTTATTTGCTATTGTGATATCAAATTTTAAGTGATATTGTACCTGAATCTGAATGCTAAAAGGTGTAATTAATATAAAAGATTAACCTCACTAGCTCAATTATGATTCTGCTTTTTTTTAAAAAAAAAATAAAAGAAGAAAAGTCTCGTGGAAAACTATTGTGTTCATTTTTTTCAAATGAGGCTTGGGAGTTACTATTAATTTTAATGTTTTATGTCAAGAAAAGCTGCTCAATGCAAACAAAAAAGTTAGTGCTACACATTCACTCCTTCTAAGTTCTAATAATAGACCAGACATAATGAAAGATCCGATGATGTTTTCTGGGACGGAACTTTAATATGTGAAAGGTGGAGATGATTTGTGCTTTTCTTTCCCCTTTTTTTATGGGTCCATGCGATGGGAAACCATTTTCTTCTTTTCTCATGTGGCATCTTGAATCCGATTAAGTTCCTTCGAAAGAAGAATTCGGAGAAGTGACAATCACATTAATTAATTCATACATTTGGGGCTTCTCTTGTCTATAAAAATTAGGTGCTTAATCAATTTTAATGAATTGTTTTCTCATTTTTTGCTAGAAAAAGCATGTATTGCAAGAGCCTTGTTTCTTCAATTTGCATTAAATTAAAAGATTTTTAAATATGTATCCTTTAAGATTAATGTTAATTACACTTTTTTTGTTATAAATTTATATAAAAAATATAAAAATTAATATTTATTTTAATATTGTTATTATATATATAAATTTAATTAAATCATTGATAAACTAACAAGGTTAATTTTTATCTTTGTAACACAAATATATGACCAAAACCCTAAATTGTTTTTCTTCATTTTGTTTTCTGGACTTTGGTTTTCTTTTTTTCCCAATATGACGGTGCTGAAAAGCAAAAAAGAATAATTGAGCTTTACATGTCCACTTCCCATTAAGCCTAACCAAACAGTAGTGGAAAGCAAACACCAAACAATTTAATTTATTGTAATCTTTTTAGTGTTAGTATTAATGCTAATTACCTAAACAAAAAAAGTACATCAAGTTACTGTGGTGTAGTGGTTATTACGTTAGTCTTCCACACTGAAGGTCCCCAGTTTGATCCTGGGCAGCAACAAAATTTTCGTTCATGTTCTAATTTTCTTTTATTAATATTTTTTTTTTCATTCTATAGAAAACTCTTTCTCTTCTATCCAGGAGAGTTACTTTAAAATTGGGATCTAGAAATTCTGCGAATAGCTTTGATCTTATTCTTTCTGTATCTTGGTATTGTTTCTTGCTCTAAATCAGTATTAGAAACTAATATTTTGAATTAATTATAAATATAAAAGATACCAGCAATATTGAATTAGAACAAAATCACAATTTTCTATCACAAAAAGTCCGTTTTCTAATAAAGATTGTATGGCAAAACTGCAGTAACACTGTCATGAGGAGCATTGGTTTACATTTTTTTTGTAATAAATTTACATTTAAAAAGAAAAAAAAAAAGTGATACACAAAAAACAACATCTTTTTTCAAAAGAGTGAGACATAATAGAGGGTGGGTCAAGCATTTTGGCAGGATGTAGGTGGACCTCGAACTGCACTTGTCTAATATCTGTAATTCCATTTGCCGCCATAGGTTTGATAAGGTTATCTTTAATTTGTCCAAAAGCACAGCCGATTTTTTTTTTTTTTCCTTACGTACCATAATATGCGCAAAATAGCCGATTTTGGAGACCCACCAAAGGCTGCTATCTTTCATATTTGCATTTTGCTTATTCATTTTCATTTGTACTTATTATAATCTCCATATTATATATATCCTTGAATTTTTTAAAGAGCCTTCTCGGATTTCTAAAACTAGTTTCAGATGAATGCTATCAATTCTTTAATTTCCTTTTCGTTACATTTTGCAGCTGAAGGTCTGCCTTTTCACACCATCAAACTAGTTCTTTGGTAACATTGGAAGATGTTCCAACTTCCACCAATGTATCATTATCGGGGACAACTCTTAATTCTAAAGAGTTCTCAAGTTTAGTATTCAAATCTTAAAGGTATGATTATATTATCCATTTCCCTCTCCTCTTTCTTCACAAAAAAAATATATGCAAGCTATATATATCTTCTATGTCTTGCTCTTTATCAAAGTTCTACTTCTAATTCGCTAATTTAATAAACAATTCTTATTTTTATTTTAGTAAAAGTGATGATCAATATATAGTAGATGATACATATTTACTTTCTTAAAAACCTCCCCACCTACTATATAATCAGTAACATATAAAACAATTACAAGGGCTGGGAAAGCAAGCTTCTAGCTTGAAGTATTGGTTTTGCTTGAGTAGCTGCAATTAAAATGAAGAGTATTATAATACATAGGAGATAAAGTAGGTATAGATAAGTAATTTTATTCTAAAAGTCACCAGTGAATTTCATTAAATAAATAAATATAGGTAATTGCCGACTATCTAAGTAGTTTAATTATAATATTTTTCTTTCAATAGAAATAGAATGATTTGGTTCTGAGTTATAAGTATACCAATAGAATAAATAAAAGATAAAAAAGAATTGCTTCTTATGGTAAAGAAAAGAAAAAAAAAAGTAATTCATGGTAATTAGTTTCATAACACAACAACATCCTTGAATTCAAATTAAAAACTTGGAGAATTCGAACAAGGCTAATACCTTTTAGCCAAGCAAACTTCAAGAAAGATTTTAATGCTTAGACAACCCCAGCCAAAAGGGAAAAAAAGGGTAAAGGAAACTCATATATGATAGGGATATTGTACAAGCCATTCAGTAATTATATGTATTACCCAGCAGAAGACTTGGTAGGTGTGCTTCTCTCCCAAAGCATAACCAATTGCACCAGGCATACTATTATTTTGATGTGTGATCATAGTTATAACCATAGCCTCCGCCACCAAACTGCATCGAATATCGAGCAGTCTGATCTTCCTGTTGTTGAGATGATCTTGTTGAAGATGAAGAAGATGAAGAAGATGAAGAAGATGAAGATGTAGGGAAACCCTGCAAAGCAAATGCTTGGGTTCCATAGATGCCTGGAAAACCATAGTTTGCCCCACTTTGAAGAAACTGCATATACTGGGAAGTGTTAGGGTATGTTTCTTGAGGTGGAGGAAGAGGTGGCACAACTGTTTGCCTATGCACTTCTTGATGACGGTTGGTGAGGTAATTACTCAAATGATCTGTTCTTCCAAGTTGAACTCTCTCCGGAAAGTTGAGCTTGGCTTTGTTTCCTTTAAACCTAAGGGCTGCTTCATCATAGGCTAATGCCGCAGCCTCCGCCGTGTCAAAAGTCCCAAGCCACACCCGAGCTGCCTTCTGTGGGTCCCGTATCTCGGCGGCCCATTTTCCCCATGGCCTTTGCCTCACACCTCTATAGTGTCTTCTCCTCGTATTCTCTTCAAAACAAACATTTTAATATAATTAATTAATCACTAACAATCTAAATAATTCAATAATAATCTCTTTTCAATAAAAATAAAAAATACTAAATTCAAGTTACATAGCATACAAATGGAGATTAAGAGATAGAACCTCACATATTATACAATTCAAGATCAATATATATATATATAATTAATCAAAGCTCATCTTGTTTGTTCACAAAAAATATAAAAGTCCACGCATCTTATTTCTTGCATTAAAATTAAAGACATCAATTTGATTCAAAATCAAGATTAAGGGTTCAAATATCTAAAATAACTAATCATGCAAACTTCTTAATTTTCCTTGAAGATCAAAAACCAGAGAAACTCATCACTCAAAGCATGAAACCAACATATCTTTCCCTTGGAATAGGAACTTGCATATAATATCAAGAAAATGGAAATTAATAACAGGATCTAGGGCTTGATAAAAAAAATAATAAAAGAAAAGGAAGAAGAAGAAGAAGAAGAAGGATCTACGGATGAAAAAAAAAAGAACAAAAAACCAAAAAACGAAAAAAACGAAAAAAAACAAAACAAAAAGCAAAAAAACAAAAGCAAAAATGGATTGTTGATTAAGGACACTGGAAAAATAATATCTTGTGATAGAAAAGAAGGTGTGAACTAGTGCAGAAAACAAAGACCTAGATCCGATCCAAGAAGAAGTAAAAATAAAGAAAGACCTAGAAACCGCATGCTACAAAATACAATAATCTTTTAATTGTATATCATCAATATATATGTTTAGTATATATGTAATCATCAAATCAAAAATATTGGTTCAAGACCAAAAAAAAAAAAAAAAAAGGAATTAAGAAGAAAAAAACACTTCCTAGCTAGTATGGTGTGTGTGTGTGTGTATTCATGTATACATATCTCTGTGTGTAGAATCATACCTTGATCTTGAGCTGGTTGAGATTGGTCTTGTTGTGCCTGAGACGATGTTAAAGGATTCTCATGATGCACTTGAACTGGGTTACCACCGCTGTTCCCTATAACTTGAGCTAGCGCTGCAACCATTTCAGACATGTCTTGCTGTGACCGAGCTGAGTAGATGGGGAAGGTAAGATCTTCCTCTTTCTCCTCCGGTTCATCGAATGGTAGGGGCCTCTTCCCATGTTTCCGATCCACTTTGTTAGCTTCTGAACCCTCCTTTTTGTTATATCATGCAAAAAAGAAGCAAGAAAATTCTCCAAGATTAGGAGGATTTAAGCTTGAGATTGTTGCATTTGATGTGGGAGCAAGAAAATGGTCGAGAGAATAAGAAGACAAATTGTTGCCACTATATATATTTGAGATTGGGAGGTAAGAAGAAGAAAGAAATAGCTAGGGTTTCGATGGAACTAGGGATTTATATTTGTTTTTTTATGTGTGAACAGTACTATGATAGAGATAAAAGAGGAATAAACACATAGTTTAAGTTTTAGTCTTTTATTTAATTTTTTTCTCTTTTTAAAATTAAAAATTGAGAACGTTTTGTTTTGCAATCCAATTTAAAACATTAATTTTAAGGAAGAAAACCCCACATTCAAAAAACTCTCTTATCAATGATTATTGTTGTACAGTTGACATTAAATTAGACTGTATAATACTTTTCTTTTAAAAGTTGATATTTGTCCGAGGGAATAGGTATGACCTCATATTGATGGACCTTTGCATCATCCATCCCAACCATGATTGTATCTGTTTATGTTCATGCGTATTAAATCACATGTGCATTATTTGTTATACGCTCATGGATGGAGTGAATTTGCAGTGATATTGATTTCGCCTTTACAAATTAAATGTGAGAACTTGGTCTAGTAGATAAAAAATGTAAATAAGTTGGCTTCAGAGTTCCCCAATTATGAATTAAAAAAAAAATTATTGGGGAGCTATATATGTATCTAATAAAAAAATACCCACATCACCCTTTCTATTTTTTATTTCTATTTTTTATCCCATTCTAATATATAACTTGAAGTCTTAAATTAAAAAATGGAGAGAAAAAGAGAAATTATCACCCAGCTACATGATTATTTGAGTCTCAAGTCTGAATGTTTGAATCCTTTGCAATTCACAATTGAAAAACTTTACTAATTGATCAATTATAAATATAATAAATAGTTAATAAGGACAACTAGACAACAACACAACTATAACTAATAATGAAATTATAAATTACAATTAAACTAATAATTAACTTCACCATTATATATATATATATATAAGGACAACTACACCAAAAACTAGTCTTTCTGTATTTTAATAGTACGACGCTGTTTTTTATAATAATATGGTACATTGTTTAGGTTTCTCACTTAATTGCGTGCTTAATCACTTAATTACACTTTCTTTTATGTTATGGGCAAAGAAAATTATTATTATTAGATTAAAAGGAAAAGAGAAAGTGAGATGAAGTCTCTTAACCGATACACTTAATCACCCTATAAGATGCCACAAAAAGACATAAGTTATTTGCGGAGCTACATGTAATTGAGGTTGGGTACATACCCTACCACATTTCTTAAAAAATTAAAAATAAAATGGCATAGGAGCAAGGTTATAGGGAAAAAAAATGTTAAAAACCTTGCATCTCTTTGTACAATCAAAAATAGAAATCTAGAGTCAGGATCACGAAGAAAAAGGTCATACCTTTGGTCTTTTTCTAATTTTGCGCAATTAAGAGTTTGTTTGGAATTAATTTAATTACGGCGCTATGGTTTTAATTGTGAATGTAATTATGTTAAACTATATTATATTATAACTATAGTTAAAATTCATTTTAGCAGTTGGTTATTTATTTTTGAAAATTGCTATCAATAATATATATATATATATATATTGCTATCAATAATATATATATATATATATATTATATGGTCAGTTTTAATAATTATTAATTAAAAATTTCACCCTTGAGATCACCAATAAGAGATCAATCTCAAAATATGAACATATTGACTTAGAGACACATGGTCGTCAAAAATAAAACACCCTTAGGTGTCCCTATATCAATTTATTTATATCTCAAGACTAATCATTTTTCTCATGATTGTTAGGGTGCAACCCCACATCGATATACATTTAAAAAAATTAAATTTTTTTAATAAAACGATATTTGTTTATTAATGAATTTAATATTTAAAGTTACTAAAGTGACAAATTAATATGTCCCCTAAAGTATATTATAATAATTAAAATTTTAAATTTCTATGTCAGAAAATTTTAATTTTAATTCTATGATAGGTTGAAAGGAGCTTGAATTGAAAAAAAGAGATTATTATCTGAGGTGTGTGTATATACATATATATATATATATGTATATAAAGGAACTAAAGTGACAACATTCTTCCTATCGTAACTAATATCTTTATTCTATTTCCCGTCGCATGTCTCACGTAAGGAATTCTTTTTATGAATATAAAATTTTATTAATGAACAATGATTGAGGGACGAATGCCCCTGGAAGGCCGATGGATGATAACAATGCCTTTACCCTTTATTAATTGAAAAAAAAAAAAAAAACCCGTTATGTAATTTAGATTATATTAAATCGTATAATAATAACTCTGTATAGTAATAATCATTAAATAAGAAATCAATTTTTTGATATTAAGGGTTTTCTTCTTGTTTAACTATTTATGTTTTGTAATTTAGTGCAGTTTAATCTACAAAATAAAAAACTATTTAATTAAAACACTAAATACTTGATAATAACAATAAAATATTAAATCACAAGATTGATCCAACATGAAGTTAAAGGAGAAAATTAGAAACCTATGGCTAGATGCAAACCCCAAATCACTCCACAAAAGTACAGAGTGACAACTACCTAAAACATACAAACCTAAAAGGAAGTACTAAAAGGAAAAAACTCTAATGAATGACTTAACAAAACCGCTAAGAGTCTATCAATCCTAGCTGGTAGCAGGAAAGACCAAATTCTTACTAAGAATAGGAAATTTAAAAAAAAAAAAAATTTACGTTAACAATGGAACCAATCCCAAGATGAAAAAGAGCACGAGAACATACTGCAAAGGTGGAAATTTTTTTAAAAAAAATTCCTAAATTTCATTTTTTTAAAAATTAATTAATTAATTATATGGGTAATAGCTTGGTTCTTAACGTCAAAATTGCAATATTTTATTTAATATTTCTTTTAAAACAAATACAATTTAAAAATAAAAGATAAAAAAATTATAACATAATAACACTATAATTTAAATTTTTTTTGTAAATATAATTTAAAATTTAATTATTATCAAAACATTAATTACAAATACTAAATACCCACAAAAGGCCTGGTGCTATTTTATTTAGTATTGGAAGTCATTGTTTTGTAAAAATGGAACTCGTGTTGTGTCCTGTGTGGAACATTCGGTGTTGAATGAGGAAATTGTCTTTGTCGTCTTGCCGTGTCACCAAATGAGACTAACGTGCCAAAGAAGAATAGTTTGGTCTATTCCATTTGGGATATTTGTGTTGTGTCTTGTTCATTCGGACCTTTCGGTGTTGAACCAGGGAATGTCCTTGTTATCTTGCCGTGTCACGACATGAGACTGACGTAGCAGATGACGAATAGTTTGGTCAATTGCATTTTGGTTCTAAGAGTATAGGTCATAACTGTCCGGCAGAATGTTCAAATTTGTCCTTAAAATTGAACAATAAGGAGGAATCACTTCGAACAAAAGACAGTGACATATCGCCTTATTTGCTTTTGGAGTTTGACAAATGAATCAAAATCTAACTTGTAACATCATCCTTAGTCAGCAATATGTTAATTCAAAGTTTTTTTTGGTAATTTTCGACATGCTGGTGATTATGTGGGTGTTTGCTCATTAAACATTTTCACTATCGCCATAGAAGGTACCATACTCACTAAATTAACCAACACACCACTTTAAATTTACAAAAGATGCCATTCATCGAAATTTTTATTTTCACTAACTCAATACCATTCCTTTTACTCCTAAACTTGAAACAAAAAGCTTGTAGCTCATTAGCTTTGAAGTTGTGAAGTCAATTTTCCAAAGAAAACAAAATGTTTGGTCCAAGGAAGAAAATGGTTGAATCTTGATCGATTTGGACGGTGACTTTGAAGATCTCAAGCAAGGTGGGGGTCCATGATGGTAGATCTATAGATTTGGATAGCTCATGAGGATCTTTTCTTTGTTGATCTTTCTGAAATTTTCTTCCTTATTTTGAGATGTTAAAAGGTAAATTATGTTCAAAGATTTGTGGGGATTTAAGCATGAAGAAGAACTGCCACAGATTCTATGGACTCAAGTATGGGTTTGGGACTTTTTTGTGAAAAAAAAAAGACGGTAAATTTGGTTTAGGATTGAAAGGCAAAATGGAAATTTACGTAGTGGTTGTCTGAAAGGAACTAGTGCAAAGTAGAAACACTGTGTTCTTTTGATCTTAATAGGAAATGCTTACTTGATTTGCTATGAGATTGACTTCACATGCTCGGAGAAGAATTAAGGAAGTTGTGGAGTGGTGAATTTTATAAATTTGAAGGGAGATTTTTTTTTTCTTGTTTTTCTTTTAAGTTTTTACCGGTTAAGGTTTTAGTGGGACCGACTTTTAATGCCGCGTAGGAAAAAAAAAAAAAAAGAAAAAGGAAAAAAAGAAAGCATCCAGCTCAGTGTCCAAATAAGAAAAATGGATCCAACATGTTTAAGAAGAAATTCAACTTGTTCTGCGTTAATGGATTATTGATAAAAGATGAAATTACACGTTCAATTTTGATTCATTAAATTTCGATTCATTTACCTTGTTCAAAAAGATAAATAGGTAATTTGTCACATTTTTTGTTAGACTGATCCACCTTATGGTTTAACTTTAAAAGTAAATTTAGACATTTTACCTAATAGTTTAGTCCCCAAAGTTCATGCTCTAACATTTGATCCTAGAACTCGTTGAGCTATGCAATCCACCTGACACACTTGAAGCTGATGAACAACTTAAATTTTTTTTGGTATATAAAGATTAAAAATTAAATCTTAAACTTAAAATTAAAAATATAAATAACTCTATCACAAAATTGCATGGTTAATAGCTACAGAGCAATTTAAATTGTTAGATCGAAATGTGTAAACCGGCCAAATTGCACATTTGCACTCAACTTGAAACAAAGAAATGCAACAATCGCTAGACAAACCAAATTTCAGTCGTGAAGGGAAAGATACAGTAAAGGAGTAGGTTCTTCAAAACGTAATTCACGGGTTACTCGTGCCAAATTTGAGCTCTACACGTTAGGTCCATACATAGACCAAATAGACAACAATCTCAAAGTCTGTCTGCCCCTCACAAACCGGGGAAAAGACAGCAATTCATGATGAAAAGTCAATTGAATCAATGGTCCTCCCTCGTATAAGTCTAAAGTATGTTCAAACTTTCAAAGACAATAGCTTGGTTTCTCAATGGTGCCTTGGTATCAGAAATTCTTTAGCTGACGCTTTATGATTGGTTGCAAGACCAAGAAAAACAGAACTTCAAGTTGGCAGTAATTGCGTACCTTTACCACACTCCTTGTCAGACTGAAGAATTTTGCTGTCTCAAGCCAACCTAGCAAATAGAAGCAATGGAGGCCTTCATGAGTCATGACTTGGAATGATATTTTGTTGAATTGGATACATCGTCAATTTAATATGGTAACGTAACATCTGTTGCAGGCACGATGCAATGTAAGGTCTGCCCTTCTAGATAGGATGACAAGGGCTGCAGAAGAAACCCATTACAAACTATATGCAGCATTCACACCATGGTCGAGATAGAGGCAAACTAAAGGAATAAAACCCATAAATAGAAATAAATAAGTAATTTCTAAGTACAATGGTTTTAAGTATCAAGATGTTGGTTTAATATCTCTGCTTCGCATGTACGTTAAAAATTGAGTGGGAAGTTCAGCTAGAAGTTCTTGAACCACAGAAATTTCTCCACCTGCATATGAAAGAGGTTATAACCCAAGTGAGACAACTGCTTATTGTTACCAGTTAATTACTTAATTACAGTCACATACTCTGTACATCCCGAAACGGCACAAATTGGACAATATCTCGTGAAGCAACACGTCCACTTGAACTCTCTAGCCTTTCTCCCTTGTCTGCATCTAAAATCTGTATAGGAACAGCAGAAGATAGGTTGTTTAAATGGATTCAGAGCTTGAGACAAAAAATCAACAATTAAAGGAGAGCAACCTCAAATGCAGAGATCTCTATTCCGAAAAAGTAAGAAGAAATACCTCCATTTCTTTGAAGTCAGCTCCTCCAACTCCAACAATGAGGATTGACAATGGCAGATCAGACGCTTTAACTATGGCATCTTTCGTTTCTTGGAGATCTGTTACTACACCATCCTACAAAATTTTTAAAGATCACAGAATTGATTGGAAACCCTTTTCAAATAAAAACTGAATGTAGCATGGTTTTGGATTCAGCAAAAATAGTAGAATATAAAATCCTTAGAAAGACTAATTTACAAAAGCAATCATTTAAGGAAAGGAGTATTAAATGTTGAATATATTACTGATTTCAAATCAAGCTTATGATTTGCACAGTCAACTTTCATTCAATAATCTTCAGTTCTGATCTTACCGTTATTATTAACAAAACAAAGTACTTTTTTGCACCATTGGTAAGAGATTGATTGGCAATAAGTGCAGCATTGCTAATTACAGGTCCAAATAGTGTTGGCCCAGCAAGTGAAACATTTAAGAGAGCACTGGTATATGCCATCATAATTCCTTGAATTCCATCAACCTGTGAGATAAATAGATGCAGAATTAATAACAGATTACATGGAAAGAAGAAAAAGCATCCTAAACTTTTTAAGTAAATTTATGCTGACAGATACTCTACCTCACAGTTATTACTGCTTCCATTCAAGTTGAAACAATGAGATACTGGACCATCAATGGGTCGTGCTCCAAATCCCCAAGCAGGAAAGCGCTTGTCTGCATCATAAAACTGCAACACATCTCCAACCACCTCGATTGCCTGGTTAAATAAATGCATAATGCTTCATCATATGGTCAAATAAAAATGGGAACTCAAAAAAAAAAAAAAAAAAAGGATATCTATTTCTTACAATCTGGTATGCATTGGGCCGTCCAGAGGGATCAATATAATGCAAGGAATCAGGGAGGCGTGGATTTCCATTTGAAGCTGGTAGACAAGGATTAAGAATTAGTCTAAAGGAATGTAAACTACTGCCTCAAATTCATGCATGTTTGACATGTCTTAAGCTATCCTTCGGGAAAAAAGTTCAGTCAAGCAACATGCTTAAACTCTCTATGCCGCAAGACACTACAATTTCTGTTTGTGCTTATGCGTGTGTTTTAATAGCGAGGTATACATGGCCAACTGTTCACAAATCATGGATATCCCTATAGATAACTGATCAACATCAATTAATTAATTATTCCTAAAAGTAGTTGTGTTGAGGATCAAAAAGCAACATGTTTAGGGGAAACTAAAAACTGAGAAAATAAGACAAAAAACTAAGGAGGTTATTCATGTTTGGCATGACTTGCAAGATGCCTTGCTGCTTCAATATTATTAGAAGAAAATAACTGGGTCTGCAGAACTAATTTCTAGATATGGTAACATAAGCCAAATGAAGAAAATACCAGTGAAATCAATAGCCACCATGAAGTTCAATTTAAAACCACTAGCCAGGTAATCAAGGAAGGTATGTTGAACACTCTCAGAGAATTTTTCCACAAAAATCTGGCTCTTTAACACCTGCATCATGGTCAAAATTTACACTATTAAAACCCAACATAGTAATTCACTGTTTGCAATTAACTTAGTGCTTAGAGTTAAACCTTGTTTTGGTAAGTATGCCCAACCAGAGTTGGTAAAAACAAATTTTCTCCTTCCCTTCTAGAATGAAGTTTTTCCAAATCTGCAAGTGATTTCTCAACTTTTCTGATATACCAATAATCAACAAAAATAATCACTGCCATGGTAGAGAGAAATCTGCATGAAAATGAAAATACAATACAAAAAAACTCATTACCCAATCAGATCATGCTTGCCATTGCCATTGAAGTCAAAGCACTCTATTACTAATGGATTTTCCTGCAAGTTAATTTTAGGTAGGACATATGAGAAAATTAAATAAACAGGTAGGTAAACAATTGGCATGTTACATGGATGATAGCTAAAGAGCAAAAATAACCTAACTAAAAAAAAAAATAGTCATAGTGTTCTGACTTGAGAAATATAAGGATTGCTTATAAGAACAAATTGCTAGAAAGGGAAGATACTATTGTGTGGGGTGTGCCAAATTAGAGCATATTCTTGCACTGCCCATGTAAGCTAAGTAAATGAATAGTTTACCTCATTAAACGATCAAGAGGAAAACTTTGTCAATACCTTACTTCCAACTTGTTGATTATTCAAAAATATTGGTTTCCATGTTGGCTTCGTGTCATTCTTTAGGACTTCAGTTTTACACAAAGGAACTACCTCCCCACTCTGCACAAGCTTGGATATTACCAAAAATGGATCCTGCAAGACAAGTTTGGACTTTAGAGTTTGAACATACACCACAACATAAATAATGTTCCTCATAAAAAATAACACAAGGAAAGGGAAATTTAAACTCAGCAGCCCATACGCTTCTTGATAAGAGATCCTTAGATTCCAAATCTGAACACCTCAATATCATCTCTACTGTAGTCTTGGAGCTAGCACATTCCTCTGCACGGACAGTTAGCTTACCATGGTGCTGGAGATCAGTAGATAAGCTAGATCCCCCTGTATCTACAATATCTAAGGTTAACGACCAGTTTGATTTGGTGACAATCTGCAGGGATAGAAAAAATTATTTGATGAGTACATATATTAAAATTTCTTTATTAATAATACAAACTGAAGCACAAGTTCGGGACAAGGCCAAGTTAGATTGCAGTACGGTAACAAATCAACAAATACTTGCATTCAAAATTTCAAATTCCCTAACCAACAAGGACACTGCAGTGAAAGAAAGACATAATTCAGAAGACACCGCTGTCATACCTCTGACAAAGTACATCTTGCCTCCCCAAGAAATTGCTGCTCATCCAACTTAAGCATCTGTATAAGTAAAAGTGTAATTAAGTTATTAATTTATACTTCCAGGCTCTTGAAAGACCTGTACTTGTTCCTTAACCGTCACATTATTGGGATACAAACAACAGAACATGAAATTAAGAAAAAAATCCAGGTACAACCAAACAGTAGCCTGCAACAAAGCTGAATGCAAGAAACAGGTAGAACCATAGAACAATTTGTAATGGGCTAAATTATTAGTCTATTACTTGCTGGGGAAAGAACATGAAGCTTAAGGAAATGTTCAAGACAGTATCATTAGAATATACCTTTACATCAGTGTTATGAAACTGAGTGTCAACATCAAAGACACGAAACCTGTGATAAATTATCATCTAAAAATTAAAAAATAGTAAAGAAACAAAATGATAGTTTTGCAGACCAGAAATTCAAGATTGGCAGAATAGAACTTACAGCATGGTTTGGACCATCTGAAAATAATAAGTAATGCTGTGTCTTGTGATCCATGCAGGACTCAATGAATTAAGAACTACTTCAGTACGACATACTTCTCTAAGTGCTCCATCTCCCCCTTTTGTATAAATCACCAACATTGGATCACTCTAAAACCAAAAAAAAAGAAAAAAGAAAAAAGACACTTGAGGCTAGTTTCTCTGCAATAGAAATACAAGTAGAGCATAGCAGTGTAATAAATAAATGGATTTAGTTACCTAAAAACTTAAACAATTTAAATATCTTAACAGGAAAACTGAGCATTAGAGATAGACTTCCATAAGACAGTGGAAGTGTCAAAAACTCCTGAAAATAACTAAAGACTTGAGTTACATTTATGTGCATAACCAATTAAGAGCCACTCCACCCCTTAGAGTTATCATATTTTATGAAACACCACTACTTTGGTCACTAAACTGCTGGCTACTAGTGCCACTTCTTTTCAATAACTGTACATCTTTCTTCACTCCTATCAAGTGGTAGATATTCGTAAACCTTGATGATGAGAATCTTCTTCACTTGTCCCAAGCTCAACAGAAAATTATCTGATCTGCATAAAACTACATTAGCTTTCTGCTTCCACCTCCTAGGAGAACTAGTGGAATTTAGCAGCTTTCCACAAGCAAAGCACAACTGCTATTGTACAAACCAACTTCATAGGTCTTTACTGAGCAATGCTTTACACTACCAGGTCCACTACTCACAGGTAATCCCTAGTAACTGTCTATCAATTAGCACTTGTTTGGTGCTACATACATATCAAATAACCATTTCTCCTCTTCATATGAATATGATTTATGCAACAACCTATTGGTAACTTGATAAAATCTAACCTACCACTTTAAAACTAGAAGAAGAAGAATGTTCAGTTCACCAACAATACGAGACCAGATTCCAAACCATAAATGTTGTCCTCTAATGGTAATCCTCAACCACCATAGCAAAAGCACTTACACAGAATCAAAGTAAAATGAGTAATTCATAAAGTACTTTGTGAAACAAAGTGACATTTCAATTAGATAAATATCAAACTAAAGTCCCTCCTTTCTGCCAGACTCTTCAACTTTTGTTCATTACAGAATTTCTGATCTTTGTAATATTTATATAGATTTTTCAACCATCCGAATGTAAATATGTTCAGCAGCATTCAAAGGAGTTGTAAGTTTAACAAAATTACGACTGTTTACAAGCTGATGGGACTGAATGTTAACTGCCTGTGCTAATAACTTTCTAAATGGAGATATCATAAAATGCTCTATAATTTAATTTCCTGTTGCCTAAAGAAAAAAAAGTAAACAAAGCCTTCATATCACCCAAACCTAAATTAAAATACAACGAAACACTAAATTTCATAAAACAGTAGAGCGCAGAATTACTGTATTCTTGATGTTTCAATTTTTGCAGTACCTTGGAGAACACATCCTTGTCTCGCAAATTTGTAGCAGAAAATGATAACTGCACAGATATTGAATTTGCAGAGAAGAATTAATACAAATTCGTAATAATTTGCTTTCAAAATAAGATGCTAATACTTCCAAATCTCCACACAAACATCCCGAGCTCGAAATGTTCTCGAACAAACTCAACAGCTAAGTAATAGCTGATCCAAAGCAAATTCAAATTGATCATAAAGAACGACCGAAAAATTCGTTATCAGCTCAACTTGAATAAAGAAGTAACTAATTCATAAAAATTTAAGACGAACCTCGATCTGAGAGCAACTACCACGGAAGCCACGAATTTTGTAGAACAAGTCAACCGCGTCGTTTTGGTTGCTGGTAGGAGCGGAGGAGGAGGTGCCACCTACCGCAGCCATCCCGCCGCCGACGTCGGAGCAGCAATTACCCATCTCTAAGCTCACTGGTCTCCGTTATGCACAAATTTTTTTAAAAAAGGGTAGGCGACGAGCCGAAGAGGAAGGAGATTTTGTAAAGGATCTGAAAACAAAGATCCGGAGATGGGTAAATAATGGCCCACTTTTTCTTTTTTTAAATCTATCCGATTTCTGGAATTAAAAAATCAGCGCGGAAATGAAAGAGAAAGTGGATTTTCCCGAAAATTGTATAAAGCCGTAGAGAAGCGCGTTTCGTTCCAAAGAAGCGAATGCTGAGTCCTCCAAGTAGTTTTATATTACGAATTAGGATCCAAAGAGAAAAGTTTTTCAAGTTTTAACTCGACTTTGTTAATAAATTACGTAATTTAATAGTTATTTTTTTTAGTAAAAATAAAAAATTTGAGTCGTATAATATATAAGTGTAATAAATTAAAAAATATATATATCTTGTATTATATAACAACAAAAAGAAAAAATTGATTTTTATCAAATTTTAATAAGGTATTAAATGATTTTCTATTTCATTTATTTATTTTGTTAGTGGATTGGGCTCCCTTCTTATTTCTCACTTCACACCACTTAGGGGATTTTTTTTTAAAGGAGAAATTATTATCTAAGATGACCATACGATCAATTTGTTGAATTAAATTTTACAAATAGTTATTAAAATTATGAAATTTGGATGATATAGAGATTGATAGGAAAGGATGAGAAGACAATACTAGCCAATTTTTCATTGTTTGATTTGTGATAAAAAAATAATTTTTTAAGTTAGACAATAACTTAAATAAAACTCAATAATTTATTTGTAACGTGAAAAAAAAAGTTCGATATAAATCTTAAAAAATTTGATGTTGTGTTTTAATTCAACAAAGTTTTAGCAAGTGACCAAAAAGTAGCACTACATGTTAAACCAAGGTTGATTTTAACATCTCAAGAAAAAAAAAACAAAAAGGAAGAGAGAGAGGCCGATTTGCACATGCTTTACAGAAAGATCGATTTGCAACTACCCCAAAAGTGGAGGGGCTAAATTGCCCTTTCCGCAATTACGTAGTGGAATTTGGTCTAGATTCAAATTAAAGTCACTTATTTACCAAGGGAATATTTGGTTGGACTTGGTCTGTTTGGACTTTGGACTTTTCAGTCCGACCATGTAAAATTAAGCAAAATCCCTAAATTTGCCC